TTGAAATTAAGGAAAAAATGTTAAGGGCAGCCAGAGAGAAAGATTGGGTTACCCACAAAGGGAAGCCCATCAGACTAACAGCAGATCTCTCGGCAGAAACTCTACAAGCCAGAAGAGAGTGGGGGCCAATATTTAACATTCTTAACGGAAAGAATTTTCAACCCAAAATTTCATATCCAACCAAACTAAGCTTCATAAATGAAGGAGAAATAAAATCCTTTACTGAAAAGCAAATGCTGAGAGATTTTTATCCACCAGCAGGCCTGCCTTACAAGAGCTCCTGAAGGAAGCACTAAACATGGAAAGGAACAACCAGCACCAGACACTGCAAAAACACTCCAAATTGTAAAACCATCGATGCTAGGAAGAAACTGCATCAACTAACAAGCAAAATAACCAGCTAACATCATAATGATAGGATCAGATTCACACATAACAATATTAACCTTAAGTGTAATGGGCTAAATGCTCCAATTAAAAGACACCGACTGGCAAATTGGATAAAGAGTCAAGACCCATCAGTGTGCTGTACACACTATAGGCTCAAAATAAAGGGATGGAGGAAGATCTACCAAGCAAATGGAAAACAAAGAAAAGCAGGGGTTGCAATTCTAGTCTCTGATAAAACAGACTTTAAACCAACAAAGATCAGAAAAGACAAAGAAGCCCATTACATAATGGTAAAGGGATCAACTCCAAAAGAAGAACTAATTATCCTAAATATATATGCACCCAATACAGGAGCACCCAGATTCATAAAGCAAGTCCTCAGAGACCTACAAAGAGACTTAGACTCCCATACAATAATAATGGGAGACTGTCAACATTAGACAGATCAACAAGACAGAAAGTTAACAAGGATATCCAGGAATTGAACTTAGTTCTGCACCAAGCGGACCTAATAGACATATACAGAACTCTCCACCCCAAATCAACAGAATATACATTCTTCTCAGCACCACATTGCACTTATTACAAAACTGACCATATAGCTGGAAGTAAAGCACTCTTCAGCAAATGTAAAAGAACAGAAATTATAACAAACTGTCTCTCAGACCACAGTGCAATCAAACTAGAACTCAGGATTAAGAGACTCACTCATAACCACTCAACTACATGGAAACTGAACAACCTGCTCCTGAATGACTACTGGGTACATCATGAAATGAAGGCAGAAATAAAGATGTCCTTTGAAATGAATGAGAACAAAAACACGACATACCAGAATCTCTGGGACACATTTAAAGCAGTATGCAGAGGGAAATTTATAGCACTAAATGCCCACAAGAGAAAGCTGGAAAGATCTAAAATTGACACCCTAACATCACAGTTAAAAGAACTAGAGAAGCAAGAGCAAACACATTCAAAAGCTAGCAGAAGGCAAGAAATAAGTAAGATCAGAGCAGAACTGAAGGAGATAGAGACGCAAAAAAAACCCTCAAAATATCAATGAATCCAGGAGTCGGTTTTTTGAAAAGATCAACAAAATTGATAGACCGCTAGCAAGACTAACAAAGAAGAAAAGAGAGAAGAATATTCAAATAGACACAATAAAAAATGATAAAGGGGATATCACCACCGACCCTCCAGAAATACAAACTACCATCAGAGAATACTATAAACACCTCTACACAAATAAACTAGAAAACCTAGAAGAAATGGACACATACACTATCCCAAGACTAAATCAGCAAGAAGTTGAATCCCTGAATAGACCAATAACAGGCTCTGAAATTGAAGCAATAATTAATAGCCTACCAACCAAAAAAAGTCCAGGACCAGATGGATTCACAGCCAAATTCTACCAGAGGTACAAGGTGGACCTGGTACCATTCCTTCTGAAACTATTCCAATCAACAGAAAAAGACAGAATCCTCCCTAACTCATTTTATGAGGCCAGCATCATCCTGATACCAAAGCCTGGCAGAGACACAACAAAAAAAGAGAATTTTAGACCAATATCCCTGATGAACATCGATGCAAAAATTCTCAGTAAAATACTGGCAAACCAAATCCAGCAGCACATCAAAAAGCTTATCCACCTTTAGATAAGTGGGCTTCATCCCTGGGATGCAAGGTTGGTTCAACATATGCAAATCAATAAACATAATCCATCAAATAAACAGAAACAAAGAGAAAAACCACATGATTATCTCAATAGATGTAGAAAAGGCCTTTGACAAAATTCAACAGCCCTTCATGCTAAAAACTCTCAATAAATTACGCATTGATGAGACATATCTCAAAATAATAAGAGCTATTTATGACAAACCCACAGCCAATATCATACTGAATGGGCAAAAACTGGAAACATTCCCTTTGAAAACTGGCACAGATAGGGATGCCCTCTCTCACCACTCCTTTTCAACATAGTGTTGGAAGTTCTGACCAGGGCAATCAGGCAGGAGAAAAAAATAAAGGGTATTCATTAGGAAAAGAGGAAGTCAAAGTCTCCCTGTTTGCAGATGACATGATTGTATATTTAGAAAACCCCATCGTCTCAGCCCAAAGTCTCCTCAAGCTGATAAGCAACTTCAGCAAAGTCTCAGGATCCAAAATCAATGTGCTAATATCACAAGCATTCCTATACACCAACAACAGACAAACAGAGAGCCAAATCATGAGTGAACTCCCATTCACAATTGCTTCAAAGAGAATAAAATATCTAGGATTCCAACTTACAAGGGATGTGAAGGACCTCTTCAAGGAGAACTATAAAACACTGCTCAGTGAAATAAAAGAGGACACAAACAAATGGAAGAACATTCCATGCTCATGGATAGGAAGAATCAATACCATGAAAATGACCATACTGCCCAAGGTAATTTATAGATTCAATGCCATCCCCATCAAGCTACCAATGACTTTCTTCATAGAACTGGAAAAAACTACTTTAAAGTTCATATGGAACCAAAAAAGAGCCCACATTGCCAAAACAATCCTAAGCCAAAGGAACGAAGCTGGTGGCATCATGCTACCTGACTTCAAACTATACTATAAGGCTACAGTAACCAAAACAGCATGGTACTTGTACCAAAACAGAGATATAGACCAATGGAACAGAACAGAGTCCTCAGAAATAATACCACAAATCTACAACCATCTGATCTTTGGCAAACCTGACAAAAACAAGAAATGGAGAAAGGATTCCCTATTTCATAAATGGTGCTGGGAAATCTGACTAGCCATATGTAGAAAGCTGAAACTGGATCCCTTCCTTCCACCTTATACAAAAATCAATTCAAGATGGATTAAAGATTTAAATGTTAGACCTAAAACCATAAAAATCCTAGAAGAAAATCTAGGCAATACTATTCAGGATATAGGCATGGGCAAGGGCTTCATGTCTAAAACACCAAAAGCAATGGCAACAAAAGCCAAAATTGACAAATGGGATCTAATTAAACTAAAGAGCTTCTGCACAGCAGAAAAAACTACCATCGGAATGAACAGGCAACCTACAGAATGGAAGAAAATTTTTGCAATCTACCCATCTGACAAAGGGCTAATATCCAAAATCTACAAAGAACTTAAACACATTTACAAGAAAAAAATCAAACAACCCCATCAAAAAGTGGGCGAAGGATATGAACAGACACTTCTCAAAAGAAGACATTTATGCAGCCAACAGACACATGAAAAAATGCTCATCACTGGCCATCAGAGAAATGCAAATCAAAACCACAATGAGATACCATCTCACACCAGTTAGAATGGCAATCATTAAAAAGTCAGGAAACAACAGGTGTTGGCAAGAATGTGGAGAAATAGGAACACTTTTACACTGTTGGTGGGACTGTATACTAGTTCAACCATTGTGGAAGACGGTATGGCAAATCCTCAAGGATCTAGAACTAGAAATACCATTTGACCCAGCCATCTCATTACTGGGAATATACCCAAAGGATTATAAATCATGCTTCTATAAAGACACACACACACGTATGTTTATTGTGGCACTATTTACAATAGCAAAGACCTGGAACCAACCCAAATGTCCATCAATGATAGACTGGATTAAGCAAATGTGGCACATAAACACCATGGAATACTATGCAGCCATAAAAAAGGATGAGTTCATGTCCTTTGTAGGGACATGGATGAAGCTGGAAACCATCATTCTGAGCAAACTATCACAAGGACAGAAAACCAAACACCACATGTTCTCACTCATAGGTGGGAATTGAACAATGAGAACACTTGGACACAGGATGAGGAACATCACACACTGGGGCTTGTAGTGGGGTGGGAGGGGGGGGAGGGATAGCATTAGGAGATATACCTAATGTAAATGACGAGTTAATGGGTGCAGCACACCAACATGGCACATGTATACATATGTAACAAACCTGCACGTTGTGCACATGTGCCCTAGAACTTAAAGTGTAATAATAAAAAATAGAATTGTATATGGCATTAAAGATTAGAGGAAAATTAATCTTCCAAGAAGGGTAACAAAAACATATTTCCTTGTAACATTTTAAAACCAGGCAAGGCAGAACATTACAAAATCAGTTTTAGATGGTTATCTGGCATGTTCAGGGATCTGGGATGTGAACCTGAAGATACTTATTTCAGCCTTCACCAAGTTTTACTGCTTAAGAAAAAGATGAAGAACAATATCTCTTAAAATATTTTTCATTATGAAAGTTTGCCTCTTACAGTAGAGCTAGGGTATATAAAACCATTTTCTCATTGCATGGGGGTGCATTTCTGATAATCGTCAATAATATGTGCTTAGACAACACGTTTACTGGATTAGGTATGTCATGTTAGACTACAATTTAAAAAATACACGCTGTGAAAAATCCTGTCAGAGATCTGTCCTTGTTTAAACCCGCAATGAATTACCATATCCCAACAGCTAGGCTTTTCTTAGTCAAATTAAGGCAGTTTTATAAATCAAGGCAATCAAGCAGTAACATCAAGGTCTTCCATTGCTTTAAACACTCCAAATGGCCTGGATTGTGTGTATGTGTGTGTGTGTGTGTGTGTGAGAGAGAGAGAGAGAGAGAATGCAGTCCCCCACTACCACAAATTATGCATTCGAGTTTCCCACATTTGGGGATATCGCAGGGGTCAGCACATCCGGAGTGCAATAGCTAAGCCTCAACCTGGGAAAACCACTTTTGTGATCATGGAATTTCCCCCGCCAGGTAAGTATAGGCCAGGTTTTGGCAGTTGCAATTAACTAGAGTAAATTTTGTTTATTAACTTATAAATAAATTGATGTAAATACTAGAATGATTATCTCAAAGAACTTGTTAGGGTGCAATTCTCAGAATGTGGGGGTAAAAATGGTTATTTTATTATTGTAATTATGAATGATTATTTTTCACTGTAAGGTGTTACTGTCATCAGCCAAGTTCTAGCAGCAGGAAATTACTGTTTGTGGTTTGCACTGTCCAAGGTCTACAATGATGGTTGATTCAGCCAAACAGGGTGATTGTACTTTCTACACTTTAGACTTTGTAGCTACTGAATACAATGTAAAATACTGGCAAAAAAACTCAGTGTATTTGATAGAATTTAAAAAACAGTTAAAGAAGTGACCACTGCTAATAAAATTCTGAAACATCAAAAAATTTGAATTAAAATAATTTTTACATTATTTCAAACATCAATACTCAAGAGGGAACAAAGTTTTACTCTATAAAGATTTTAGTTTATGAAAGCCGAAATAATCTTTTACAAAGTCTTAGTGTTGTCAGCAGAATTACCTAAGCAACTAAGAAAAGCAACACTGTCTCTGGATCTCCACAACAGCCTGAAAACCGTAAAGTAGTTGCTTATGAATTTGAGAATCTCTTTTCTTAGTTAAAACTTATTGAACTCTACCACTTGCAAAAATCTTAAATCCAAAGACCTACTCTCTTCAATACCTGTGATTCTTCCGCTTCTCTCAAGTTGTCTCTTCTCTCAACATGCCATTTTTCCTCATGGCCTCGACGTATTCCTTTTCTCTTAGTTCAATTGTCCCTTCTTGGTTCTACTTTTCCCCTCTACCTCTTGTGCTTCTACCATCCTTACCCAAGCAGTTAATTCCCTGCCATAACTGAAAGCAGTCACTGCCCATGTCTAATTTTAGTTCAAAAATGGCCTGGGTTTTGTACGGAACATTGCTTCGCTCTGCAGACTGGTGCTGCATAACAGTTACGGTTTTCATTCTAAGCTGGGCCCTCAGTACTTCTGAGTGTCACTTCTACTTGCTCTTAGTAATGACCTTTCTTATTCTTTATTGAGGCATTGTGGCAGAATATAAAAGCATGGACATTGTTGACAGACCTTGATTCAAATCCCAGCTTCAGCACTTAATATCTGCATGCTACTTAGCAAGTTATTAACTGATTTAATTCTGTTTCCATATATATAAAATAAGAATAATAATTCTTGTACGATTTTCTGTAAGGACTTAATATAAGAAAGGTGATTTTGTAAATAGGTCAATGTTGATGGTTATAGTCGTTCTTATGCAGCTTGGTCTGGTCTCTAAAAGTTTACTAAGTTTCTTAAATTTTCCACCATATCTCCAAATGCCTAATTATCAACAGACAAGATTGTCTTTTATTTTTATATCAAGAATACAAGTTATCAAGTGAGTACATTCTCAACTTCTCATCCTCTCCACTTCTATACATACCTATGATGTTACTCATTAGTCCCTTCTCTCCTATTTTAGAGTAATACATATTTCATTTTCTTTTCAAAGACCCCAGAGACAGTATAACACAGTGACTGAGAGAACAGTTTTTGGTGCCCAATTGCCTGGGACTTATTCTTCCCTCTACCACTTGGGCCAGTTGGCCAACCTACCTCCCTGCATCTCAATTTCTCTATATCTAAAATGGGTACAATGAATACATGTACCTCATATGGTTCTGAAACAGATTGAATTAAATGGAACATTGAAAACACAAAGAGCCTGATACACATATACACTTCTGTTAGCTATTAGCAATTATTACTACTATGAGCTATTATCGCTTTCTGTCTCATCAGGGTGTCAGTTCGCAAATTCTTGCCTCTGTCCTGAGTCTTTAATCACTTCTCCACTGGCTCCTTCTTAGCCTACTTAAGCATTTGTTAATGGAAACCTTCCCTCACCTGGCTTTGTTGCACTTTTGCCGTATTTCCTTTCATGGCTAAATGTTATGAAAGAGTAGGCTCATTCTAATACTCTGATTGTACTAATTTAACTATTCCTCATTCTTCAATTCAATACATTATGACTTCTATTCACACTGCTCTACTGAAACTACTTTCATTCAGGTCCACTATGATCTCCCAATGGTGAAACCCAGTGGCATATTTCCAGGCAGCATCCCATTTATGGGATGATATTTGACACTATTGCCCATTTAGAACTTCTTGAGATCTTCTATTTAGTGTCTATGATAGTGTTTATTTTTCATTTCATCTGGACATCACTCTTAAGTTTTTTCTGAATCTCCTTTTGTACATACTTTAAATCAAGACAAACATTTGATTACGCAAATTTCTTCCACACCATATTCTGGCAAAATATAGCTTCGAGTGTCTACGGTATATGTCTTCTTCTCTATACACTATAGTGTGTGCATCTCTTGATATTATGAAGAAATTGTTTTACACAGATGGACTTGCCTTAATCTAGGTCATATCCATTTTCAATAACTTTATTCTTCCAACTTATTTTACAGCAGGCATCTAATAGTTGGACTTTAATCTTCTACTCCCTTAAGCCCATACTCCACCCTATTTCTGGATTTTTTTTTTCTCTTGTAACCTCAATCTAATATTGTCTGTTTTCTCTGTGAAAACATCAGATTACATTATATTTATTATAGCGCAAAGCCCACGTGTCTTCTTATATTAATTAGGTCCTATTTAAATTGTTTGAGAAACCCTTACTCATACCCTAAAACTCCGTTTCAATTTTATATTGTCTGTTAAAATTACCTTAATTTCCCAAGATAATGAGCTGTTAGGTTATTTGCTCTCAGATTTTGTTTTTTTGTTTTTTACTCTTCTCTTATATCCTTTTACAGACTTATGTAATTTATTTATTTGCATATCTGTCTCTTCACTAAACCATCCTTTTAGGATTCTGGTAATCTAATATCTCTAAGATACAACATATATGTGGATATATTTTTTCTAAATAACTATTTTCTATAAAAGTAGATAGTGTTTTGGGATGTAGGGGATTTTAATTCTATTTTGCATTTGTTTATTTCCTATTTAATTTTTTTCTGTATTAAATGAGATATTTTATGTAACTTAAAAATATTCTGTGATACAAAATATTTTCGCCATTTTCTACAATATTATAAATCAACCCTCAAAACACAGAAGTGAAATACTCATACAAAGAACTGTCAGGAAATGACTAGATTTATAAGATTTAATGTATTTACTATCTTCTCAAAATTTTTTCAGCCTATAAACATGTTGTGTGGATGTAATCTGATACACTGTGTAGACAACACTGATTCTAGTGATATGATTTACTCTTGAGATGTTTTATTTCCATAGTAGCTACTGAAAAAATCTCACCATTTTCAAAGACCTAGTAGTCATATATATATATACACTCACACATATATATATACATCTATAATTAATTTTTCATTAAATTATAAAATCTTAAGTTTGCATATAAAATATTAAAACCGAATCAAGGCAAATCAAGATCAACAATAGAAATCCTGTTGAAGTCTCATAAAAGAAACCATAGGTTTAAAAATACGATTTATAAAGGTCATTTTACACAGTTGGTGAAGTCAAGGCAAAACTAATTTATGACTCATGGCAAATTCTGAAGAACTCTAAACTGTATATGCATACCTAAACTGTGAGCCAAAAGCATTTAAAACTTTTCTGACATTGGCAAGGGAGGAGGGCAGTAGATTCCAGAAATTTAAACACTCGTAAGACATTATTATTTTCATCATTAAGTTTCTCTCATTATTTTTCTCCACTCCTATGTTTCCTAAGTGGATACATACTAATACATTAAATATTTCACTTCATTTGGATTAAGAACTGCATGCTCATTGAAAGGTCTTTATCAATGACTGAAATTTATATTTCCAAGTTATTATTCTGGTAAGGATATTGCAGTTTTCCACTAATATTTTAAATATTTTAAATATGAAGACTTTAAAAAATTTATGTTGCTATCAGGGCATTACTCTATCAATAGCAAAGTGTAATAACGTATCATTTGGTTGCATATAATAGTGAAGAATTAGAAAGAGATTGACAATATTCACCAAATCATTCCACATTACAAATTTTATTTGAAATGGAGACCCACATTAGTCAATATTAGTATGGTTACTGCACCATTATTAGTGTAACGAAATGGAATGTCACATCCTAAACCACGAAGGTGCTATTGCTGAATACAAATGTCCTTTGATATGGAGGTAACAGTTTATAAGCATGGTAGCATTAGTTATCAGCAAACTGTTTTGCTAGAAGTAACAGTTATTATAACTACAAAGTTTATATCTTTTAAAGAAAAAGTTACAATTGCATTTATTGAAAAGACATCTCTTTCAAATTAATGGTATCATCCAACACAATCTTTAACCAAAAATCTTGGAATAACCCTCCTTACATAAGAGCTATGAAATGGAATATTTTGAGGCATGAATAGAAGGGATAAATAAATACATCTGATTTTTTAAAAAGCTTTCTTCATATAGAAAGTACACAGTGCTCTTCACGGTATTCAATTAATTCATATGTTAGCACAGTTAATAGAAAGAGCTTTGCAGTTACGCTTGTGTTCAAATTCCTGTTTTGTCATTGAGATGTGGTGCAAAGCAGGTTTTCTTGCTTTTAGGACCATGGTTGGCAATTATAAGATACTTCATAAAAAGTAAGAATTATCAATAAAAATTCAAACAACTAATTGTTAGACATTCAACTTACTTTTACATTGCAATTTAAAAAAGAAATTAAAGAGTTAACAATTGAAGTACATTTTTTTCTCCCAAACTTTTTCTGTACTAATAACATAAAGCTATGATGGCCTGAAAACAATATTTAGTGACACAAGGAATGTTCCATTCACAATATTTAACACAGGTAAAATATTTGTTAGAATCACACATGTGTATGTTAAGGTAAGAAAGGGAAATGCCACAGTTAAGATGCTTAACTCGAGAGTAAAGG